CTCTTCACGCTCGGTGTGTGCTCGGTGCTCTTCCTCTTCATCTCGTTCGCGGGTGTCCACAACGTCGGCTGCCAGATTCCCGGCAACCTCCTCTTTGCCATCACAGGCACCAAGCTCGGCTTCAGTGCGCCCCGCGGCGGCATCGTCCTCGCCTTCCTCTTCATGCAGCTCCACTGCTCGATCGCGTTTGCCGTCATTCTCTTCCCGACGTTTTACATCTTTGAGCGCATCATCCTCGGCTTCCACAAGCAGCACTTTACGCTCGAGGCTGAGGCCGCCGAGTACCACGACATTGAGACGCCGGCCGAGGACAAGGCGGTGGTTGAGAAGGACGCCGAGCCGATCGAGACGGAGGAAAAGCCGATTATTTACGCGACGCGCCGCGACTACCTCAAGGCGTGCATCATGCGCTTCTGCCAAGTGTCCATCTGCACGGTCATTGCGATCATCTGGAAGGACCACTTTAACGACCTGCTCAACTTTGTCGGCGCCTCGTCGACGGCCATGGGCTGCATGATCCTCCCCGTGCTCTTCCACCTCAAGACGTTCAACAAGACGATGCATTTGCCCGAGAAGATTGCCAGCGTCGCGATCATCATTATCATCTCGTTCCTTGCCGTCTACGTCTCGATCCAGACGGGCAAGGCGCTCTTCACGCCGTCGCCGGCCGACCCGACGATCCTCTTCCCGTACTGCCCGGCCGAGTACCAAAAGATGGTCTACACCAACACGACGTACTACAGCACCAAGCAGTAGACGCTTCATGCCGTGTCGTGTTATAGAGAAGTTGTAGTGTATTGAATAGTGTCTAAAACGACCAATGGAGTCGCTTTTGTTTCTACTTGCGGTCTTGCGTGGGATGGACGTGGCCAAGCGACGAGCCGTGTGGACCTGCTGACCGGTATCGTACACGAGGCACCTGGGATTTTGCTAACAGTGCAACGGATCACCGTGAATTTAGAGCGAGCACGTGAAACTCTCACGTGATGGCACAAGCTACTCGGTTTGTGAACGTTGCTTACCCGGCTAAGATGACGTGCGACTAGTCATTGACATATATCGAGGCTAATATCACGCTTCTTTAGCTTGCATCAACAACCAACGGTCATTGGAATACATAGCCCAATGCGCGCTGCATGAAGATCAAGGCATAGCCCTTTACTAAACACCAGTGTAAAGTGTGTACACTGCCACGTAAGATTAGCGTTGGCCAAAATGAGCGTAGGCTACCAGCCTGACAGGGAAACGGCACAGTAGCTCTACCAGGCTTACTCATTCCTACTAGTAGACGGCGCTTATCGGACCAAGGTAACCCGGAATCAAATAGAGTCCTATTCAATATGTATCCTACTAAATTATATGGCATTTATGCATCAACTTCTTCAACTTCTTCAACTTCTTCAACTTCTTCAACTTCTTCGACGACCGTGGCCTCGACGACAGCAGACTCTGTGCGCAGACTGTCCATGATGCGGACCAGCGCCCTGCACGGTGCGAATGAGGTCGGCTTCGGTGTGCAAGTACGAGATGAAGAAGCGCAGTCGGCACTTGCCCTCCTCGACGGCCGGGTGCACGATCGGCTTGACGTTGATCTTCTCTTCGTCGCTCAGCCGCATCGAGAGACGCACCGTCTCGACCGTCCCGCCAATGTACACGACCACCACGCGGTCAAGATCGCCAAAAGTGAGCTTGACGGACTCGCGGCCACGGTCGTCGAGGAATGTGTAGACGACCTTGTTCGGCGTCGTGCGAGCGCGCTACTTCATGAGCTCGACGATCGAGAGCTCGTGATGGGCGACGGGCATAGTGCTTACAGCGTCGAGCACAGGTACGCTCTCGTCTTCGCGGCACAGACCACGTGGCTGCCAAGGCCGAAACTCATTGCCGCGCTTGCGAAAAAAGTGGCGTAGGCTGCGGTCTGGCTTGGGCATGCGTCTAAATTGAAACTGGCCTAGTTGGTCTCCACGCAAAGTAGCACCCTATTTGCGGTGCGAGTCCGTTGAAAAGCGATTGAGCCAAGTACAACAAATATACCTCACTTGGGCGTGCTCCAATGTGGCTTTCGCGCCAAAATAGTGATCTCTTCCAAACAACAAAGCCCTCCCCTGCAACCCAACCAGGCCAACGTTACTACCGTTAGAACCCTCCTACCACGGAACCACCCCCGTGCACCGTCGTTGGCAGCTCAAATCAACATTCTACTCGATATTAACGTTCGTTCGTGGCTACTTAAGCACATCGGACCCGTTCGCATGGGCTTGGCTGCGATGAGGTCGTTTGCGCTGAGTGGCATAATGCGCCGCCCGACAACCTGGCAGGTATAGCTTGGCCAATCAGATCGCGGTCTACGGTATATAACGAGAGATGGTTGGCCAGCTAATCAAACGGCGCACTTAAGCGGATTACAGAGAAACTGCAGACTGCCACGCCATTTGCATGTCTTACGGTCGCGCTCCCGAGCTATGTTGCAACATATTTCTAAGAGCCGAGTCGTTTAGTGCTGTGTCGGGACGCGTGGACCGTACGAATAATACTGGACAAAGGTCTGGCCGTTGTTTGTGAATCTTCAACGTTGCGATGTGTTGGTGGATTGTCCAACTACCTTTTTCGACTATAGTATGTACTAACGTTAGCTGTAGTGTGAAGGTAAGACTAATTCAATTGAATTTGCTCCGAACTTGTCCCTACGAGCTACATTTTGTACGATATACTAGAGTTTAGAATGAAATCCGAGTTGCGCAATCAATTTGACGAGCTGCACCAAAAGTGCGCACAGGATCCAAAGATGCGCCAACGTATGTTTCTACGTCCATGTGGGTCGTAGCGTGCAACGTGATGCAACTGCTGGGGCTCGTGAAAACGAAATAGCCCGCCACAGCCATGAAATCTGAGAATGCGACGAAGCTGTATGTGGTCCCAGATCTGAAACTGTGACGGAGCCTCGTGCACAATTCCATCCCCAGATATCCTCCGGCGTCTCGTTCGGCGCCTCATTTGAAAGCGTTGCGCCGCCTCCACACTTCTAGACAATGCGCAGGACACCCATTTTGTGATTGAGCAATCGTTTTGTCGCGGCGGCGTCACCGCTTTTCCGCCAATCAGCACACGACAAGAGCATTGCGCAAACCCGCCGCGATCTCTAGTCGCGTCAGCGCACAACGCGGGCAAAACACCTCGCTGAGTGCAAAGGCTCACTACGCATTTCGCTTCCTCTGTCCCACCACAACTACGACTACCGGTCTCATTGCATCATGGCCAAGGACCCTTTCTT